TGGGGAAGCGCCGGCCGGGGGCGCAGGGTCTGGAGGCTGCCCGGCAAACCGTGAAGCCAGTAGCGCTTGGGCTTCGGGCAGCCCCCTTGCCTCCGGACTCTGCGCCCCCAGCCGGGCACTTCCCCTCCCGGGCTCCGGCGGCGCAGGGTCCGGAGGCAGGGGGGCTGCCCAAAGCCCGTAGCGCTCGGCTCTTAAACAGAGCCGAAGAGTCAGGGGAGGAGCAGAGCCGCCATTTTCCCAGACATGTTCGGCTTTTTGGCAATTCCCCCCGGACGGGGGTTTGAGTGCCGAAAAGCCGGACATGTCCGGGAAAAAGAGGATGTATGGTAACCCTACAGGTTCCACACCAAGACAGCGCCGCTCTCACTGACTACATCTTGCTGTTAGAGTGAAAGGAGAGGTGTGGTTGGAAACAACAGGGAGAATAGAAGAAAGGGAGAAAGAACATAACAAAGGGGGAGTAGAAGAAGAAAGAGAACAGAAGGAAGAGTGAAAGGATAAGATGGGAAAGATTGAATTAGGGGGAAATCATGGTGCAGTAAGCCTCATATTTCAGGGGCCTGTGATCCACAATGGCTGCTGCTTTGGCTGCTATTAAAAATGGAGAGAGATCTTCACCTTTAAGCCCTGCACAGTTCTGCTCCCCCCCCACCATGTTCCAGATCTCATTTCCTTACTCCATCCCCCCACACCCACATGCAGACTGCTAATCTCCTCCAAACTGCCCTCCTAAACATCCTTTTTGCCACCCCCTTTCACTATTGTCTTTACCCCTTCTTTCATGCTGCTCCTTCCAATTAAAAAACCTTTATTCTTGTGTCCCAAACTATCGCTCTTTCTTTTCATTCAAATCCCTTCTTAAGGCTGCCATGAAGCTCAACAGTGTCAATCCACCAAAGACAAAAAACACATAACACAACTTTTAGAAAACAAATGATAACCGTATCTCTTTGAGATCTGAGGCTCATCTGATCATCTGGGGTACTATGTGTCTTTTTAATGTAAATTAAAAATCCTGTCTGGCATGTTTTCTTCCGTGTCCTCTACAGCATCAAGTGTCTTGAGGAGGTTCAATAAGAAATAACATATAACTAATGATTGTGAAGAGATTCACCTCCTTTTTCTAAATCAACTGTATTTTTACATTGGCTACTTGAGTAGCTTGGGCTCTATTACTACTTGTAGTGTATTGAATGTCCAACGTTTTTAATCTCAGGTATATTGAATACTCTTCCTGTTTTTTGTTTCTCTCCTCTGCATGTTTAAATTGTTTCAGGCCCTCCAGGTCCAAGGGGACCTAAAGGTGAGAGGGGACCCCAAGGGCCTTTTGGTCTCACTGGCCTAAAAGGGCAAAAAGGAGAAAAAGGTGAGCCAGGGCCACCAGGACCTGCCGGTGAAAAGGGCCCAGTTGGGCCAGTCGGGCCACCAGGAGAAAAAGGTGGTAAAGGTTCAAGAGGATCACCTGGCTCCAAAGGTCAGAGAGGTTCTACTGGCAAGACTGGTTTGCCAGGACCTAATGGAGACCCTGGACCACCAGGACCACCTGGCAAAGATGGTCCTCCGGGTCCACCAGGTCCACCTGGATTTCAAGGATTGCAAGGAACTGTTGGAGAGCCTGGGGTACCTGGACCTCGAGGATTGCCTGGTCTGCCTGGCATACCAGGGATGCCTGGGCCACCTGGGCCGCCTGGGCCGCCTGGGCCACCAGGTCCAGGGATGCCTATGGCCCTGAAAAGTGAGCCAACATCAATACCTGAGGCTAATGGTAAGCTATCTACTCACCCACCTACTTTTCTACTTACATGCCCATCTGCCCAAGTAGCCATTTTTAGTGCACCTGCCACCATGATAGTGGGCTAATGTTAATCTCTTATCTTTTGCTAAGACACACTAATTCTCAAAGATTCTTAGTGTGGAACTCCAGCTTACCTAGCAAAGCTGTGTCTCCCTGACTTCTTTCAGCTGCTATGGAGTTTGATTAAAATGCCTCATCTCTAAAGAGATGGCAGCAAAGCAATGAGTAATGAGCAGTTCTCTGGACATGCAGGTTAAGTTATATTCTGCATCTGGTGCAGATTTCTGATATGTGCATATTCATTGACTCAGCACCTAAGTATTTCAGATGCCACCATACTGTAGGACAGTTTGAAATCCCCAGTTTAACAGCAGGGTTTCATGTCACAGGTTGTTCTGCTCACTGGAAGAACTTTACAGAAAAATGCTACTACTTTTCATCTGAAAGAGAAATTTTTGAAGATGCAAAAGTTTTCTGTGACGAGAAGTCCTCACATCTGGTTTTCATAAACAACAAAGAGGAGCAGGTAAAAAACATCACCTGCTGTTCTGAAAGCTATAAGGTTTGAAGGTATTTTGAGTCTGGAAACTACACAGCAATAGGGAAGCTGAGAACATCATGGATTCATATGGTGAAATGAAAACACCAAGTTACCCCATTCAGAACGCTGTACTCCCATGTCTGCTCAGCACTTATTGTGAAAAAGAGCAACAAAGCAGGCAATGGGCCTGATCCTGAAATTGCTGAACATCTGCCACTTCCAGTAAATTCAATGGGAGTTGTGGGTGCTCAGCCCCTTTCAGAATCAGGCCCATTGTTAGAGGCCTATTATCTGAAACACATTTTTTTCTGTGTTGCAAATAGTTATTTTTAAATTCAATCTTTAAGATAGACAACTTAAGTCTTTATTATGATCTTAAATAAAGTCTATTAAGTCTTCCTTAGGCAGAGCAGTGATAATGAATAAAAACCATACCTTGCATTTTATGTGGTATAATTGTTTGGTAGCCAGACATACCCCTGCCATGCAGGAGTGGTGCAATAACTGCATATTCTTTTTCTTAGTTAAAAAAATACTATTGGTGGTGGTCTTCCAACCGCCCAGTTTTCATGGGGAGTTCTTACTCACAGACAAATAGTGCCATTGAGTCTAGTGCCTTTTTGTTTTTACTTACAGACAAATAGTGCTTTTTTTGTCAGTCAAGTTTGAAGAATCAGGCCCTAAAACACATCTAGAGCTGCATAAACCTTCCATAATCATTTGTACATTAGCAATGGTGATCCCTCATAAAGCAGGAGTACTACAGATTAGCTCTGGAGTGAACCATAAGTACCATCTCAGATGTTGTTACAAATTAAGGACTATCTTTGCGGGAGGGAAGGAAGGAAGTTCCAGCCAGTAAGGAACCCTTTCAGGAGAGAGCATTCTTCGGTGACAAGAGGGAGAAATAATTACCAAAGTACCCTTAGATTACTGCACTCACTACCAGAAGTGTGAGTAGTATACACAGGAGTAAGAACAAAGGAGGGTTACCAACAAGGAAGAGGTAACCAACAAGGAAGCATGGTGGTTGAGCATTGGGAATGGGAAGGAGAAGAACACTGTTCTTATTCTATCTTCTAAAAGCAAAATCTACACAAAGCAAGTAATTGTGTGCTCTGAGAAACAGAAAAATGCAATCACAGATTTCTTTCACTCGCAGCAATGGATAAAAAGACAGATTGCTGGGAAAGGCAACTTCTGGATTGGGCTCACAGATTCAGAGCAAGAGAATGCGTGGAGATGGCTGGATGGAACCTTACCAGAGTACACGTATGTGTTGAAAAGAACCATGTTGTTTATTTTCTGCAGAGTGCTACTGTTCTTGCCGCCACTTTACTAGAGAGCTGCAGTATCTAGAGATGAGTTACTGGATGCCAGTGAAGCAATACTTTATCTGGAAGTGTTACTGAATATTGTTTTTCCTACCCCCTTCCTTTCTCCATGCACAAGGCTTTATCTCCTTGCCAGAAGGAAAATGGAAAATTGAATATTGAATGAAAGAATCATACAACCGTGCAGCATGATACTGCTTGCCAGTGTTTTTACAAGGTGGGGGTGGAAAGCCCAGGCAGCTTTTTGGTCTTGGTTTAAATTTTCCTCATTTGCATTACAACTGGCCATAAATAGAGAGCTCATTCGTACTAAAAATGAAAGGACTATTAGATAAAACCCAAACAGAAGGAGAAGGTATAAAGCAAGAATGTCCAAACTTTGGCAAGCTGAGGGCTGCATTGGCAGGTAGCCACGAATCCAAGGGATGCACCAAATTGGTATTAAATAGAGCAGGTTACAGCCACCCTAATTTTAATACAGTGGAGTGGACCACAGAGACTATAAATCTCAGCATGCAGCGCACCAGAAAAACAGGCTAAATCCATTGTATTTGTTATAAATGATTTGCAGGTGTCTAATTTGTGGCCACTTTCATGAGAACATGGAAAAAAGATTTGGTTTTGGTGAATCCTACCATTATACCTCATAAGAACATAAGAACGGCCGTATCGGGTCAGACCAAAGGTCCATCTAGCCCAGTATCCTGTCTACCGACAGTGGCCAATGCCAGGTGCCCCAGAGGGAGTGGACCTAACAGGCAATGATCAAGTGATCTCTCTCCTGCCATCCATCTCCATCCTCTGACAAACAGAGGCTAGGGACACCATTCCTTACACCTCTCTCAACTTCAGATGGCTACAGCAAACCTATGGCCGGTGTCACTGAAGATTTCTCTTGTGCTGTGCTTTTAAAGTGTCCTCTAGTGACCTCAGAACTGTCCGTCACTGAAAGTGATTCACTATTTCTGGAAGTCTGAGTTTCTTCCCAGACGCTTGGTCAGACCCTCTGTATCAGGCAGGCATGTTATTTAGCTGCTTATGGCACCATTTCAGCCAGCAACCACAAGCTTCTGTTCAACAACCTGTATTTTTAAGAAAACCGAGCTTTTGTTTTGAGACTGGAAGCACATCTCATTTATTAAATGAAAACAGAATTGAGAGTTTTGCTCCACCAAGCAAGGGCACTAAGTACTGAGTCAAGTTTCACTGGCCTCTAAATTAAGCCAACTTTTAAAAATTCCTTATGAGTCTGAAAATTAATTTTCCATCCAAACTGAGGTCTGAAAGATAGACAAATCCCTGCTTTGCAGCTGGAGAGGCCCATCATGATCAAGACAGGATCTCAGTTTCTTTGCCATTACAGGTGCATATTTTGCCACCTTTCTCTCTGTGTCCCTTTTGTGTTCTTTTTAGCAGGCAAGGTACTGAAATACACAAGAATCCCTTAGGCAGAATCTTGGATGTTTCAGTACCATCTGCTGGTAAGAATGAAGTAGACAGACACAGTGGAGGAATAGTGCCATGTGCATATGGCATGTACTCTCATCACACTTGCATGTACATCCGCAAACCAAAATAGAGTTCATTGGTCTAATTGTAAGCTTTAAGCCTTGGCAGTAGATTCCCGTCTCTGTTTTCCATTTTCAGTAAGAGTCATGTAATGTTTGTTAAAGAGTGTATTTCCAGTTCAGAGCAGATCTCATGATACTTTTTGCTAATCTCTTTTGTTGTGCATGGAAAACTATCATGTGATGCCATTTAACATCTACTTCTTATTTTGTTGAAAGAAACTGGAAAAGTGGGCAGCCTGATAACTGGAGTACTGGGCAAGGGCCAGGGGAAGATTGTGCTGGATTAATCTCTGCTGGGCTCTGGAATGACTTTCAATGTGAAGATGTTAACAGTTTTATTTGTGAAAAAGACATGGACAAAGGTAAGCTAAGGATTCAATTAAAAGAGTTCCATCATAGCCATAAAGAGCCATGATTTAGTCCTGGGGGAATTCTGCGCCACTGCGCATGCGCAGAATTCATGTCTCCCACAGATTTCTTTGCTTCGTCGCAAAAAAATGACTTTCTGATGGGGAAGTACAGGGAAGCCACAAGCGCAGTCATGTGACCCTCCCCAGCAGTATATTTTGGGTGCCCAAGGTGTGTACAGATGCTGTGGAGTGCTTTACAGGGAGGATAGGCTTCTCACAAATGAAAACTCTATCACCTGTAACCGCTCTACACAGGTCTAGCCCCAACAAGCATGAGGAGTCCCTGCTGCTGGGAAGTCTTTGGCAACTGCTGGGCCTCTCTCCTTAACTCCCACCCACCCACTCTGACTGCTGGAAGGGAGTGTGGGCCCTGTCCAAGTTCTCTAGCTGACAGCTCTGTGTCACATAATTGCAGCTGGGCAGGGTGGAATCACAGACTGCCTGTTTTACTGAGCAGATACATAGGTACTACAGAGTCTCTTTCTAGATCTAGGGATGCACTCACAATAGGATTCTGTTGTGCCACAGAGCTTTTTAGGGCTCTGCTCCATGATCATTGCTAGAGCTCAGATCTGGCCCATAATATTTTTGTTCTGATGATTACCTTGTTTAAAGAAACTATTTTACAGTGTGCCAGAAACATTAATTGTTTAAAAGCTTTTTTCAGAATTTGTGTGTGTCATGAATGCCTGACTGCTATGATTGCCAATACATAGGTAGAATTTCATAGGATGTGGTAGAAACTCCCAGCTGGATTCAAACTTTCAGATACTGGCTCTTAGGCAGCGTCCACAAAAAACATATGTACACCCTTCAGGTGCATAATCCACATCTGTTTGTGCAGATTGAGGAATTGCTTGTGCATAGAATTGTCTTTTCTTCCTAGATAAATATGCATTATGTTAGCAGAACTTTAGGTTTTGAAAATATTAGTTGTTGGAGGTGTACAATATCTGAATATGGGTCATATTTTAAAAAGTTCTGTTTCTTGAAAACCTAGACTCATATGATAAAATTTTCCAAGATTCTTTGAATTCAATAAACCTCCTTGCTGATAATTTGTTTTACCTTTACAAGCCTTTCACCTGTGTTCCTTCTTTCTTTCTCTCACTGTAGCCTAGGCACCTGGATTGTAATAGGCTGTGAATTTACAGACACAAATACAAATTACTAAAAAATCCCATGGGACTTCATCATCTCCTAACAAAATTGAAAAGGAAGCACTGAAAACTGGTTTAATGCAAAAAAAAAAAAAAAAAAAAGAATTCAGCCACAACTCGTCTTTGCCATCTTGTGATTATTCAAGGATTCTGGACCCACAGCACAATGCATTTATTGGAAATGCAATTGGACTGAATCAGTGACATATTTTTGTCAACCAGTGACCATACAAGTGTACAAGTTTTGTCTTAAAACACATGAAATATAGCAGTCTGAGTAAGACTCTTGGTCATTGAGCTATAGGAAATACGTATAAAGCTACAGTGTAAACAGTACATTTCATTTGCTAAAATCCCAAATATAGGAAAATTATTCAGATACACACATATAGTATATAGATTTTATATAAATATATATATAGTCAAGTTCTTATCGATAATATGGAATATACTTTTAAGAGCTTTTAAAACTTTGTATTTTTGTACAAAATATTTGCTTTTTACATTTGTTCTTTTTTATTGTCTTTTTTTTTTTAACAAATATAGTACACAGGGGCCAAAGAAAACAGTAAGGGTACTAATAATAATTCAGGCTGTTGTCAGACTTAGCTCTGCTCAGCTATAGAAAAATATTTTCCAATTTAAAAAAAAATGTTTTTTCCCAGATGAACCACTCTGGTTAAATAACTTTGAAGCTGATTTTAGATAGTATTTTTATGCAAGTCTACTCTGAGGTGAGTAACCGCTAAATAGATCAGGGACTAGATATTCATGATAGCCATAATCACAGTGAACCATCAATGCACTGCTGTACTATAGGGGTCATGTTAACACAAGACACTGTGATGTCTGCCTTACTTCCCTCCCTCCCTCCCTGTCTACAGAAAAATATCACAGAATTAAGTCACTAGATTTTTTTTAATGTTTTAATTATTTCTCTATTAAAAAGCAGTTTTTAGGAGCTCTGCCATAACAAGTGCTGCTTACTACTGAAAGTCAAACTAGGAAGACATTAAAAGACATTTATAAAACAGAAACAAAAAATTTGAGCATACTGAAATGTGGTGGGGGGTTTTAGGCTGGATTTCAAAATGTGGTAATAAAACATGATGTATTCTAAAAGGTCAAGTCAACCTGCATTTCTCTAAAATGTTTTAATGTAAATTAATCTTGTGACTTCCTTGGCCCAATCCTCCCCTGCCAAAAAAACTAGTAAAATTAAGTATGCTACCACCAGAATTTAGTATGGTTAATGGATGATATCACTGTCCAACCCTCTTCCTTCATATCCCTAAAGAGCTGTTGCCTAGACAACAGCAACACTGCCTATCTTAAAAAAAATAAATAAATAAACAGTTAAAGTTTATTAGCAGAATCCATGTGATTTGGGTTCTATTTTGTGTATTCTCTGTGAGGCCACATGCTACACCATCATGTATGTCCTTTTGGACCCTTTTGGAAGAGAGTTGTTTTTTTACTGCCTCGTGACCTCCAGTTTACCTTGGCTGAGTATGGATAAGCCTGTTGAAATACTCCAGCTCTGCTGGAAGGAGACAAGATTTTGTACTTCATATTTTCAGGTATTGCTTATAAGTTCTTTGCCTTACTGGCTCTAGAGCTCCCAGGGCCTAAATTCCATATTCTCTCAAAAGTTCATCCTCCTCTTTCTTAATGTCAATTATAATTTATTCCCAGAAACTACCTGGAAAGTGAAATGCAGAAATCCATAGAGAACATAGCGGGTATGAAAAATGAACATAACAGCACAATCCGCACACACAGTTAATAATGAAAAGCTATTTCAGAGGCAATGCTTTTCCGATAACGAGTTAGATTACCTGAGGAATTTTCTTTTTGTCATGTATTGAATAACAATCAGATGATCTATGAATATTATACGGTACCTATATATACAAAAATGTATAAATATATAGTAGTGCTATGTTTAAATATATATTTATACAATAGGTATGGCGATAACATTAGCACAGTATCTTTTTCTTATCTCCATCATACTGGCTGGAACAGGTAAGCGTCATTCTGACCTCACATCAGTATAACTCTACTGATTTAAGTGGAGTTGCTCCTGATTTCCACTGGTGTGACTGAGACACAAATTGGGCTCATAGCTATACAAGTCCAAGGCAGAGCTGTGAATAGAACCCAAATCTCTTAGCACAGGACTGGGAGACTTTACCGCAAGACCATCTTTCATCTCCTGTGGTAGTGGACATATGGCATTCTTTTTGAAAAGATGTATTTTTCCCCATGGCACGTGTGTTACAGTGCTCTTCAAATGAAAATACATTTCAGTAAGTGATCCTCCCATGGTCAATTTTCTTCCATTCAGGGAGGTTTCCCATTCACAGACTACCAGCAGCTTAGAATACAGAGTTGAGCCAGTTTAAGGCTGTAAAATGTTGTTGAATAATAACTATTGTATGAAGAATTTAGATGGAGATTACATTCAGTGGTGTTCCTCATTACCCACTCCTGAGTCAGAAACACAATAGGCCTGATTCTCAGTTACCCAGGCCCACATCCTCAAACATATTTAGCACCTAACTTGCATTGATTTCAAAGGGAATTAGGTACCTAAATGCCTTTGAGGATCTAGGTCTCTGTGCCTATGCTTGGAGCAGAGATGGATTCAGTGGATGACTTTAAGTAGATGCCCTCTGCATGCACAACTTAGACAACCATCTTTGAAAACTTGGCCTGCAGAGTGCAGACGAGCTAAGACAGATTCATCAAGCAAATGCCCTTTTGTCCGTCTTAGCCAGCATTCATATAAGATAGAAAGGGAAATGTGAAGTGGAAAAAGAAGACTGAAATCTCAAAAGGAGTGCAGAAGTTGCCAGTACAGGTCAGAAAACTGTCATGATAGGGAGGGCAATTGGCAAGGGTGCAAACTGGATACCATGAGAGGCCAAGAGCTTGCCACGGAAGTCAGAGTTGCCATGTGGGGTCTGGTAAATTTCATGTAAATCTATCTTCTGTATGGCTTGAATGTCAGCACAAATTGTACAGAAAGTTATTTTTGTGTGAGAAAATTATTTTGTCCACTTGTAGCGATGTCTGGGTAAGCTACATCCAGCTAAAATGGAACTGGCTATATTCTCTTGAGATACTGAATGTATATTTCCATTTTTTTTTAATTTAACATAAAAACTAAATGTTATTTCACTGATAGTATAACTATCCTTAATAATTAAGTGACTGGCATTGTAGAGGTTATGGGTGGAAATGTTGTGCCTTACAGCATCATCAAATGCAAGATCTTTTAAAAACTCTCTTTTGCTCATATCACTGATTTGTTATGAATCGTTTTCAGCTGATTAGAACTTTTCACATCCCTTCAATTGTCCATAAATATCATTTGAAATTATTCCAATGAAAGAAGCACTAAGTGAGAGACACTAAAGTAAGTATTGCACATTCTGTGTATACATATATAGCAAAGTTGGCGGTTGTATATATGGGTACATACAAATTGTCAAAAACATTGCATATGTATTAAAAGCCAACTTAAATGAAAGAATAGTTCTTCCAAATAAAAATTCTCCTCTCACACCACAGTACAGTTACTCCTGATTTACACTGCTGTAAGGTAGATCATAATCAGGCATATGGTATCTCTAAATACAATTATCTATTTTATCTAGTGACTTGAATTTTTAATTCACTGTTCCTGCAGTATCTAGCTGCTAGAAATGTGTCATTTAAAAGGTTAAGAGAAAAAACATACAGCTCATCTTCATAAAGCCTTACAAGGGAACTCAGAACTGGGAAAAGGGATCCAGGATAAAATATCTGCTGGCTTTAATGGTGCAGGCCCAGAACCCAAGTAAGCTATAGTTCAGTCTACTGTTTAAACAGATATGCCTGTTCCAACCTCACTATTTTCCTAGATATCAAATGGCTCAGCTGTTCTAATTTTTCTTTTCAGTAGATACCTCTTTTGGTTTTAACAACTGGTAAGAATTAGTCTTTGATTTTATTAATGGAAACATGATAAGCTGACCGGAGCATGGTGCCAAGCAAAAGAATCTGTTTAGCTAGAATGGAGGCAAAGCCATCTGGGAGATCCAGTTTGTTAACAATATATGATTCAACAAAAATGTTCAGCCCTATTAAAGCACCTTCGTTGAAAATCACAAAGGTCTCAGCCAGAGTCAGCATGTAAAATACAAAAGAAATGGAATTTCTCCATCTTTAGTCCATACATTTCCTTCTCCTTTTCTTCCTCCTCTTTGTTTATATTCCCACTTGGAGGAGAAGTTGTTACTATGCCCCCATTAACATCAGAATATGGATTTGGAAACTGATCTTCCCCCCTTTCTGATTGCCTGGCTGAGCCTTTTGGTGATGGTAATACTGATATCAGTTACTCTGTCTAGTACTTGACACTTTCAAAATAATGTACATACATTCATTAAAAGAAAGTCACAGCCAGCTGACAGTAAAGGCCCACCTGGAACATTCTTACCAGAAGACTATGTAAAGAGAATTGGAATTGACTGTGTCTTGGGCTAACTTTCTAGAGAACAGCTCCTCATTTACTGTGTCTCACTGTGTAAGGTTGCTCTGCAGCAGACATAGGGACTTCCTAGGAACTACCAGTCCACCTATGTATTCATTGCCTCACTTAAGTTCCCCCTCACTTGTTTGATGGCATCTAAAATAAAGAAACCCTGTTTTGGAAAAAATAAATTCTAATTTGTTTTCTTTTTCTAGGAACCAATATTTTTCTGTCTCAGTGATGAAGATAAAAGTGTTGTTTGTTTCAAAATAAACTATGGTTAATTCTCCAAAATTTGTGTGAGAATTTTCTTTATTCTAATACCAATAAAAGCCACAGTACTAGTCAAGTAATATGAATATAGGACTGGAAGGGACTGCCAGGGCCGGTGCTACCATTAAGGCAAACTAGGCGGTTGCCTAAGGCGCCAAGATTTGGGAGCACCAAAAAGCGGTGCCCCCAATTTTTTTTTTTTTTTTTTTTTACAGCGTTCCTGGGCTGGGCTGCCAGCGGTGCGCTGACACGTGCAGCTCAGACTCCCTCTACCAGCACAGCGGCCACTCCACTTCTCCCACCTCCCAGGCTTGCGGCGCCAATCAGCTGTTTGGCGCCGCAAGCCTGGGAGGGGAGGAGAATTAGAGCGGGGGCAGCGTGCTCGGGGAGGAGGTGGAGCAGAGGTGAGCTGGGGTTGGGAGCTGCTGCACGGCTACCTGGGGGGGGAGCTACCGTGGGGGGGTACTTCAGGGTGGAGGGGGGGCGGGGAGCTGCCGCAGGGCTGTGGGGAGGGGAGCGCAAGGTGGAAATTTCGCCTAGGGCGCGAAACTTCCTTGCACCGATCCTGCTTGGTACACCTATTGAACGATCTCTTTCCTAGAGTAGATATGGCTTGGAGAATAATTGGCATTTTATCACATTTTTTTAAAGTATGTACATGATTAATGCGCATCTGTTGTGTGGGGAAAAAGAAGATATGTGATACTGACAAGAGATGTTGTATACACCTACACTACGCTGTTAGCATCATTACATATAAAAAGCTACATAATGATACTATCAAAGTAGTGAAGGTGTGAACAATATATCTTGCCATCATCACATATCTTGTGCATGGTTAAAATCTCAAATATTTCTTGCTAAGGAGGTAGGGCAAAATCTATACAACTCATATCTGGCCTGCTAGTTGTTTGTTTTTCATAACTGCTTCTCACCCCTGACATTTATTGCAAAGTGAGGGCTGGTGGGCAGTGGTTATCTTCTTCCTTCTTGTCCTCTGTGCCCAAGGTGAAAGATGGCTAGAAAAGCTACCAGCTGCCCCTAGAAGATCTAGAGCAGGGGTCGGCAACCTTTCAGAAGTGCTGTGCCGTGTCTTCATTTATTCACTCTGATTTAAGGTTTCGCATGCCAGTCATACATTTTAACATTTTTAGAAGGTCTCTTTCTATAAGTCTATAATATATAATAAAACTATTATTGTATGTAAAGTAAATGCGTTTTTTAAAATGTTTAAGAAGCTTCATTTAATATTAAATTAAAATGCAGAGCCCCCCTGGACCGGTGGTCAGGACCCGGGCAGTGTGAGTGCCACTGAAAATCAGGTCATGTGCTGCCTTCGGCACGCGTGCCATAGGTTGCCTACCCCGATCTAGAGGATGGGACCACTTATGTCTACACTGCTATTAAAAACCCACAGCATTTATTAAAAATTGAGTATTTATAACTCCACCTTAATGTAAAGCCTTACCAACAAGCAATCTAATACATTAAATACAGTACCAAATTTGGAAGCGAAACTGTTGATGAATTTAACAACCACTGGATGTCATTGTTGTGCTA